ACTACTTTGCCTTGCCATACCCCTAATAAACCTGCCCAGAGCAATCTGGGAAATGTAGTCTCAAAGGCTGATCTTGCATGTAGTGCAGCTTGGGTCGCAGCTACAAGGTCCACAAGTAGCAGTAAAGGGGAGGGATGATAAGAAAAACAAAACACCCAGGAAGGGCAGTTGTAGAGGGATGCACCAACTGGGAAGGTATATGTGACTGTGCTATGCCATGCTGTCTGGACCAGGTTCGGTTAGACTGCATTTTGTAGGGATTCATCAGAGACAAGCAGCAGGCTGCTCTGCTGAGTACCGAGCCATGGAGAAAACTTGAGGAGGATCTTCTATCATCCAGAGTCGCTGACGGAGTTGCATTCATCCTGACCACCGCAGCTGCATCACTTCATAAAGGGGGCCCCCCACCACACACAGACTGCTTGTTGTCTCTAAGCATTGGGTGAGAGGGTCTCTGACCCACACCATTGCTATATTCAACAGCCGGTTTCCTATCAGCCCTGCAGGCCCAGTAGGGCTTTTACATTTCATTGACCCTGTTCTCCAATAGGAGGTAAACACATTGGCTGTCATTTTCTGATGAAAGCTGCAGCTATCAACTCACCACTATTCCAGACTGCTGTATTTTATTACTTCTTTTTATCACAATTTGTTGCATTATATCCCAACATTAACTATTTCCAAAACTCTCTCTTCATTGCACTCCCTCTTTCTTTGAACATGTTTGCTTCGCCTATCAGCTTTAAAGAAGCATACTCACTAACTGAGTCTAACCTTTCATTTAACTGTTCCTGAACTGTACGCCCTAAATACATTGCACTGATTTTGCGTGCCAACATTAAAGGGCCCCAACTGAGCCAGCAGAAGATAATATCAAAGAACTATTCACATCTTGTCATCTGCCTGGAGGAAGCGCTGGGTTGCTGATAGTGTATCTAATTCCCAGGCCTAAGCTTAGCCTCTCTTGTCTGAGAGCCGTAAAGTGAACTATCCTGCCCTCCACAGTCACTGGGGATGTAATTTCTCAGTCAGAGAGCTATTGTTTATGCTCTTGGTACTGCAGTGAACACTGAATGCATTCTTAAACCTGGCATAACTGCATTATATTTGTATTGCACTGTTTTTCCCAGGTGTTGATGCTGAATTACTGATTCTCTGTGTTATCTTTTCACTTTGGTCTGCCAATACAAATTGCTTATTTTATAATAGTCAGCATGTGCCATTCCTGTGTGGCTGCTGAGAGTTCCCAGCCAAGGTATTCTGGTGGTGCAAGCAGAAGTGAGGTTATGGCTAGAGCCAGAGAAAGAGCAGAGGACCCAATACTACCAGCGGCTCCTGCAGGGGTAGCACTACAAAATAATATTTGTGATGTTTGTAATATGTATGAAATGTCAGTTGCCACGTATTTGCCTCTTGCATGGCAAACGTAACATTTCCAAATATTCGACCTTAAGAGGAAATAGCCTTAAGAACATTCTACCACAAGAGTTAAAGAACATACGACCAATAGAGAAAATAACATTATAGGCCAAGAACATTCATCCAGAAGAGGAAATAATATAAAGGGGGATATCTACACTGTATACTGGTGTGCTTAGAAAAATAGCAGGGTTATTCATCTGTAAAACTGCATGTAGAATCTTTTTGTATGAATGGGGCAAAAATGAATGTTATTAGGCTATTTTCCTTCTAGTTCAAATATTTTCTATTTATAAGAACAAAATTAATCAGGAAGATAATGCATTTTGACCGCTAGATGAAGCTGATGATCATAATAAATAAGTTTCTTGAATCAGTTGCTGCGGAGAGTAAGTGCTGATTTACACATGTGCAATTCAGATTAAAGCTCAAGTTTCATAGTGAATTGACACAGTAGTTGTTCAATAATTCATGTCAGGTTTACATCAGGTTCAGGGCAGGATTTTATCCTGCTCACACATGTGCGGTTTTGGAACTGTTCCCATAGAAGTCAATAGCCCGTAATCCGCACCTGAACCTGAAGCCACTGCTCAGAAATTGGACAGGACTCTATTTCAAACCGCACTGAATCCACACCTCCAGTGCACCGGGCATATGTGAACAGGCACCATAGGAAGCAATGTTATTTCACATGACATGCAGATTGGAAGCAGCTCAAACCGCATCCAATCCTCATATACTGTATGTGAACTGGCACTAAAATGCTATACAAAATCAAAATACTGCAGAGCTAAAATTCAGTTTTATGATAAGTTTTCAGGACTGTACGGGCTCATGTACACTGCAGCTGATAAACTCACATTTAGGAGCTGTTCAGCATTTTTTTCAGCAGCCCCTAAACTCTCCATAATGTTTTCCTATGTGTCCATGTACACATCTTCATTTACAGTCGTTTACAGGCATTTGAGTTTACAGTCGTTTTTTTAAACACAGAAAACTTGCATTCAGTAGTCGATTTTATCAGCATTTCAAGCGCAAAATGCTTCTAAACGCGGCTAAACGCAGCAAATCGCGTTTATAAGCATTTGCACTGGAAATTTTTTAACTCTTCCAGTTCCCAATGCTGTCCGGAGCCTTTTTTCATCATGAAAAATGCATGCAAAGCATTTTCAAGGTACTCAAATGGACAAAACACTGAACACAGGATGTTCCTACCAAGCTTGTCACACATTGTAATGGCCAATTCACACCTCAGATCTCTCCTACCCTTGGAAACAAAAGATATGTTATTTTTAAAACAACATAGTGCAGCGCTTAGCAAGGTGAAAAAGTCAATAGAGTAATAATCGAGCATCCACAGTAATTCACTGGAGAAATACGAATTCCCACGACATCCACTCTGTCAGATAACAGAAATGCGCACTCACCAGAAACGCATGGAATATGCGCATGTGTGATCATGCATCACAGGCAGTGGGTACATCAGAGGTTAGGCAGCAGGCATCTCCCTCACGGTGGATCATGACAGACTTGTTAATCTGGTCCAGGGGTCCCCTTAAGGTCAGCCAGGTGTTCCATACAAAAAACCTCCTCTCAGGATGGCAAAGTGCTTTCTCTGTGGGGATGAAAGCTCCAAGAAGGAGCCCTGTGTAGCAGCCATGGCTGCTACACAGGGCTCCTTCTTGGAGCTTTCATCCCCACAGAGAAAGCACTTTGCCATCCTGAGAGGAGGTTTTTTGTATGGAACACCTGGCTGACCTTAAGGGGACCCCTGGACCAGATTAACAAGTCTGTCATGATCCACCGTGAGGGAGATGCCTGCTGCCTAACCTCTGATGTACCCACTGCCTGTGATGCATGATCACACATGCGCATATTCCATGCGTTTCTGGTGAGTGCGCATTTCTGTTATCTGACAGAGTGGATGTCGTGGGAATTCGTATTTCTCCAGTGAATTACTGTGGATGCTCGATTATTACTCTATTGACTTTTTCACCTTGCTAAGCGCTGCACTATGTTGTTTTAAGATTATATTGATATTTTTGAGGCATTGTGGTTGCCCTAAGTGTTCTAGCTGCTGATATTTATGAGAGCGCTCACTATCTTTTATATTAAAAGATATGTTATTGACCATTCATACCTCAAATTCCTCATGAAGACCCCCTGCCAGGTGGCCTTAATGACTCACTCCACCAGACACCTTTCCCATCCTTGGAAACAAAAGAAATAATAATGAGCAACTCACACCTAAGCTAATCTCAACACACTTCTGTCTCTGCTTCTACTCTCTGTATTTCTCTGAAACTTCACTTTTCAGTGCATTTTGGGCATTTGGGAAGTTCTCCTGTGCTTATCTTTAAAAAAACACTTATAAACGCGCATAAACACATTATGCAAACGTAGCTAAACAGACATTCTTTAACCTACTTTTCCAGCAGTCAGTTTCCATCGTTCAGAAGTGTCCCGTGTACATGAAGTCTAACCCTTAAGACCACCTTCACACCTGCATTTTGGCCGGACAGTGTGTACCTGTGGGAAATCCAGTCAAGGGTGCGAGGGATTAGCGGGGGAGGGGGCAACACCATTGAAAGCAAGCTGACTCTTGCAGCTAATTGCAGCCGGTTGCATTTAATCAGTATGCGGCAATTAACTGCAAGTGATTCACCCTGGATGCAGATGGAAGCAGTTGTATAGTCTCCTCACTGCCTGCATGGCATGTGTTTGCGGGACTCTTGCAGAGCGGCCCTATTCACTTGAAGTGACATGCAGCATGTGTATTCCCCAGCCTGCTGCCTCTGCATCCAAAAGGGGTAGGGGTTGGGGGCGGTTATGGCTTAACCATGGGGTTTTATCCTTTATCTATGAAGAGGTATCTGTGTTTAGGTAACTCTTCAGGGAGCATTTGACAGACAGTGATGAGGTGTTGTATTGTCTCCTTAATGCCTACTTTAACCCCTTAAAGCCAAGCACTAGTGCACACTATTGCATGCCGTTTTGAGGCACTTGCAAAGTGGCCCCATCCACTTCACCCACCAAAAGCAGCTGTGACATGTGTACACCTCAGCTTCTGCAGCTAAAGGGGGTAGTGGTTGGGGGCAGTAAAATAATAGCTCAACTATGGGGCTTTACCTCCCCCCAACTGCTAGTGTAAGCAAACCCTAAAAACAAATTTTATGAAAAAATTAAAGGGCCAATAAAAAGTAACTCCACTTTTTTTGAGAAAAAAGAAAACATTGGTGATCTAAGTACATGCGTTGCAGGGATATTAATACAATTTGCTGCAGATTCCTACCTTTTGTTATTCTGAAGAAAGAGCTGTTTGTTTGTTTGTTTGTCTGTGTCCATGTGCAGAATGAATGTGAATGGGAATGATTTATAATGATCAATTAGCTGCTGCACCTGCAGGGCTCTAATGAGGAAAGTGGCAGGGTCTGCATTCCTTTAACCGCCTCCTACCCGCCATATAAGGAAGGAGGGGGCAGCAGTCCTCTCATTCTGGGAGGACATCATATGATGTCCTCCCACTCTAGCTGCGCATGCGCGTCCCTGGGACACAGCGGATCACTGACCATAGTAAAAAGCTGATGATGTCAGCTCTATCATATGATTAGCGGTTATCGGCAGTCCTCTCCTCACTCTGACGCACTTGAGGAGAGGAGAGTCGGTAAGTGGCATTTCTCAGAGGGAACATGCACACTGATCATAAGGGCACTGATCAGTGTAGCCCCATCAGTGCCACCTGTCAGTGCCCATAATTGCCACCTGTCAGTGCCCATTAATGCCACATACTAGTGTCCATCAGTGCACATCAATGCCACATATCAGTGCCTACCAGTGCATATCAATGCCACATATCAGTGCCCATCAGAGCTGCCTTTCAGTGCCAACTATCAGTGCCAGTCAGTGCTGTATATCAGTGCCAGTCAGTTCCGCCTCTTAGTGATGCCTATCAGTGCCCATCAGTGCCGCCTATCAGTGCCAGTCAGTGCCGCCTATCAATGTTCATCAGGGCCACCTATCAGTGCCCATCAGTGCCACCTAACAGTTCCAGTCAGTGCCGCCTCTCAGTGCCAGTCTGTGTTGCCTATCAGTGCCCATTAGTGCCATATATGAGTTCTGCCTTTCAGTGCCCACCAGTGATTCTGCCTGTCAATGCCTACCAGTGATGCCTGTCAATGTCCATCAGTGCCGCTTATCAGTGCAGCCTATCAGTTCCCATCACTGCAGCCTCATTAGCGCACATCAGTGAAGGAGAAAATTTACTTATTTATAAAATTTTATGACAGAAATTTTGTTTTTCAAATGTTTTTTTTAGTTAAGAAAAAAATAAAAACCCCAGTGGTGATTAAATACCACCAAAAGAAAGCTCTATATGTCTCAAAAAATTATAAAAATTTAGTTTGTGTACAGTGTTGCATGACAGCACAATTGTTATTCAAAATGCTACAGCACTGAAAGCTGCAAATTGGCCTGGGCACAAAGGGAGTAAAAGTGCCCGGTAGGCAATTGGTTCAACGTGATTTCCCTTTTGGAATATCTCACCAAAAATAATTTTTTTGTGTTGTGGGGGATGCCTAAAATCTGACTTCTATCTTATGCAGGCCATAGACGGTTCATTTATCGACCGATTTTTGCACTGTTAGTGGGGCAATGGCATCTGCCGATTTTCGCGGTTCCTCCTCATTTCTTTTATTGATCATGCTGGAAAATTTGTGAAAAACGTCCGATTTTTGCAATCATTGGTTGCAACAGAACGACCGATGTTTCGTTTTTCAGACGAAAAATCAGCCGATAAACAAACTGTCTATGGCCTGCATTAGTGCAGACTTCCGGGAAATAGGTGAGATAATCACCAGCAGGAAATGACATTTCAGGGGACTCAGGTAAACATATTGTATTGCATTTTAAATTTTAAAATTACAGCACTGCAGGTTGAAAAGGAAAGGTCATTTTTAATAACATTCACTTATATTATGACTAGTGTAGCAATTGTGTATATTTATTTATTTATTTATTTTTTACTATTTTTTTCTATGGAAGCGGAGTTACCCTTTAGGTATTGGATGTGTATGGATTATTTTTGGAAAGTGAGGATATCACTTAGTATCACTTAAACTGCAGCTGAGAGGACTCAGGTCTCCAGGCTAGCTGTCTGGTGTAAATCTCAGGGCTGAATGGATGAAAATATACATTTGTTTGGCAGTTAAAACAGCTCCCATTTTTTACATATTAACAATGTGGTAAAAGTTATTCTAAATGTTTGTTTTTTTCCCAGCCAGCCACCTTGACATATGGGTAAGGATTGGCTTCAGCCCACATGTCTCCGCCAAGAAGTCACGCCCCTTGATGCATTTCCCCTGACCACCAAGACAGGGCTATGACTAAGGGTGGGGCAAATGTGTCAGGGGGTGTGGTTTCTTGGTTGAGACATGTAGGTCGAAGCTGTTCCTTACTACCATGTCATGCTGCCTGGCTGGGGCTTCTCCCCTTCATTGAGTGCTGCTATAGCAAGCTGCTTGCAATGGGGGCACTTGTGCGAGCTCACTCCCAAGTCTCACTGTCGGCGTCTATTGACACAGACAGTGGGACCACGCTCCCCCGATCCCTCCTCACTGGCTATGATTGGCAGCAGAGGGAGCCAATGGCTTCTGCTGCTGTCTCTGAGCCAATGAGGAGGGAGAGAGCTGAGAGAGCTTGTATGCAGAATGCTGGATCGAGATCAGGCTCAGGTAAATATATGGGGGGGGGGGGGGGGGTGAACTGAATGCATTGAGCTAAAAAACCTTGTACCTTCATAACTACTTTAACTGTCTGCCTGGATTTCACCTTTAATGACAGACTGATGCACTACAGCAAAGTGCGGTGCACATTGTGTGCTCTCTGTATACATCTCACAATCTGTTCTCCAGTTTGAAATGGAATGTACCTTTAAGGATTACTATGCCATTTTTGTAGCTTGCGGTAAAGATTCTCATCCAAAATTGTCTGGGATCAGCACTGCAATTCTGGGCATTGTGCAACCTCCTCCCATTCTTTATATTGTGTTTTCACAGCAGGTAGAGGTACCAGCTGGGCGCCCAATGAGCATATATGCACTTTCTGATTTAATCACATCGTCTTTCTATAAAAATGAATAATTTTACCTTCTTGCTGTGCAAAAGAGAAAATGGGTGTAACATTATGATTTTACTTTCTTTCAATTTATTACAAGTGCCAAGAGATGAAAGGGATAACGTGATAAAATTGTATTAGACTAGCAGTGAAAAGAGACATTTCACAATTTAAAAAAAAAAAGACTTTACTATGAAACTGGCTTTTTAACTCTGAAAGAAGAAATACGTTGCTCAGTTATGGCTCCGAAACCCGTTACCAATCAAAAGTATTTGTGGAATGGCTGATATAAGTGGATCATGCTCCATGCTTTGGAGACAACTACTGGTGGCACACAAAACATATATACATCTTTTTTATTTCCTTATCACATGAATGTGGGGGATGCATTGCCTGGACATTAAAGTGGTTCTAGTCTAAAGGTTGTATAACTTGCATTCTCTGTATTAAGGTAACAAAACCTTCCACTGTGTCCCCCCCCCCCCCCCCCCCCACCCCAGCACTTTCCTGGCTCCTGTATCGATTCAGTGCTGTGCCTTGCTGGAGGTCTTCACTCACTCTCTTCCTGCTCTCACAGGCTTTGCTGAGAATGGAAGAAGCCATTAGCTCCTGCCAGTCAAATCCAGAGAACTGTGTGTCTATTGGCTCACACAACTCAGCTCTGGAATGAGCTGGCACATCTGCCCTCATTGCAAGCGGAAGCAGAAGAGGAAGAGCCAAGAACGCTAGCAGGGGACATGAGAAGAGAAGGTAAGGGGGGCTCTGTGCAATGGTATTGCACAGAACAGGTAAGTATAAACCTGTTTATTTTAAATAAACAAAATATATACAATATATATATATATATATATATATATATATATATATAAATATATTTGATTTTACAATCACTTTAAGAACTCATTCACATGGCACAGAAAAATGTACACAGTCTAAAGCTTGATACACATGTAACCTGCCCAATCTGTAATTTTGTCCACACACTTCTGTCAGTAGGGTGACATCACTTTTCCTGTTGAAGTTAGGGTTTGTTTACACTTGCTTTGCTCTCTGAAGAGCAAACATTTGGATAGCTCTTCAGAGAGCATTTAACAGCTGGTGAGAAGGTGTTGCACTGCCTTCTCATTGGTTGTTTCAACCACCTGATGAGGGACTGCCATGCTGCGCATATGTTAAAGCATAGCCCCATTCACTTGAATGGGTTACACTCAGCGGGTTGTAGCGCCCACCAAGTGTGACAAAGAGTTTTATGTTTTCAAAGCATTGTGGCTGTGGAATCTGTATAGCTCCAGCTGCTGCTGCTGTAGCTAAAGGGGTAGTCATTAAGGGGCAGTAAAAATGTGGCTCCACCATGAGGTTTTACCACCCCCAACCATGAGTGTAAATGAGTCCTTACAGTGATATTAAAGGTTCAGTTTTTTCAATAAAATAACAAACATGTCATACTTACCTGTTCTGTGAAATGGTTTTGCATAGAGCAGCCCTGAACCCACTCTTTTTGGGTCCCCCAGTGGTTCTTCTGTCTCCTACCCCGGCCAAGTGTCGCCATAGGAAGCAGCTTCCTATGGGGCACTCGTGTAGGCTCACTCACAGTTTGCATCTATTCAGACACACAATCCAGCTTGGCCCTGCCCTAACCCGCCCCCCCAACTCTCTTCTCACAAGTTTTGACTGACAGCAGCAAAAGCCAATGGCTCCCACTGCTTTAAGCAAAGCCTGTGAGAGCCGGGAGAGTGCAGAAGAACTGCTGTAGATGTGCACAGTGCTGGGCTGAAATATGGCTCCTTTGAGTATTTAGTGGCGGTTGCGGGGGGAGCTGCATGTAAAAGGTTTTTACCCCTATGCTTAATTTCTCAAGGTTTGGGAACCCTGTCTGAGTGCCCCTTCCGAGGCCTCAGAATCTGAGTTACTCCCTTAACCCCCTTCCTCCCTTCTTTCCCTCGCCCCCTCTTAGGCTTCTTTCCTTTGTATATCCTTCTTTGACTATGGTTACGCAGCCTTTATCTCTAGAAGTTGGCTGCAGGTGTAGAGCCTCCCCTTTGGGGGCTGCAAGAAAATCTTGGGACCTGACGTCTCTCCATATTCTATCTTTTAGTTCCATCCCAATGTCCCAGATTTCTTCTATTTTTGATACTTGATATATTTGACTGAAATGCATTGCTTAGTCTGTACTGGTTATCTATTGCTCAGCTCTTGCATGGGCGATACATATGCTTGACTTAGACTTTTGTATTTCTCTTGTTAAAATCCAATAAAAAGATTAAAACAGAAAAATTGTTTTTACCCTAATGCATAGAATGCAAAAAGGTAAAAAACATTTTACCTTTACAACCACTTTAAAGAGGCACTGTCACTTTGCCCAATCAGCACAAGATGACAATGTCTTCAAAAAGGGGCCCCGTGAGCCACTGATGTTCACCTTGCCATTTGGTGATAGTACTCAGATACTCAGGGTATTGGGAAGTACTTGATGTCCTCCCATGGTACAGTGCTTCGGTCCAGCAGACAATCACTAGTTCTGAGTGATGTCACATGACACAGGCTCCGCTTAGTGTCCGACACCAGCCGATACTGGGGTTTTAGTGTCAGCTGATACAGAGGAAGGAGCAGTAGGTGATCACTAGCAAGGGCGAGGGAAGATAATCTTTGCAAAGTCCCTAAATGGACAAAGTGAAAGTTTCTCTTTAACGAATACAGTGATGTCACTTTGCCTGGTTGGATAATGAAGGAACAACAATACACTGATCATAAACTTTTCATTTTCCACTCTGTCCACCTTGCCAGCAAGTACAGGATTAAGCATGGCCGAGACAATGGAGGGCAGGATGGATAGAGAGCAATATTACTTACCTTTAAACTCTGCATTACTACTGACCTCTGAACTCTGAATTACTACTGACCTCTGAACTCTGCGACAATACTGAACTCTGTATTACCTCCTACTGACCTCTGAACTCTGTAATACCTACTACCGACCACTGAACTCTGCACTACTTACTACTGACTTCTTCACTGTGTGTTTCTTACTACTGACCTCTGAACTTTGCAACAATATTGACCTCTGAACTCTGTATTACCTACTACTGACCTCTGAACTCTGTAATACCTACTACCGACCTCTGAACTCTGCAG